GAAACAATAAAGCTGAAGTTGCACAGTTCACAGGGAAGGAAATGAAAAGCGAGCAAACTGTGAGGGCACAAAAAGAAGACCCAGAGTCAGACACCGGTAGAGGCTAGAAACAAAATTTCTTTTTGCACTTGAACTCTTCAGGATATAGCATGGGGAATTACTTCATATAGAGTGTGTTAACCAATGAACTCCTGCAAGACTACAGTAAAATGATGTGTGGCACAAGGTGTTTTCAAAAGTGTATAAACCTCAAGCAGAATTAATAATTAAAATGTATTCTGCCAGTGAAGATGGTGTAGAGCAGGGGTGTGAAACTCATTTTCACCGGGGGCCACATCAGCAGTACAGTTCCCCTTGAAGGGCCGGTTGAAAATAGAAGACGGTACGACGGAAGACTGGTACTGGTCCACGGACCAGTACCAGTCCTTAGGGATCAAGGGTTCTCAAACCCCGGTCCACGGACCAGTACCAGTCCTTAGGTCATTTGGTACCAGGCCGCAGTGAGACACTGAAAAAATTTACTTAATTTTTACTAATTTACTTAATTCAAAGAAAATCAGCAGTCATACCCATTTACTTTCTTTATTTAAAGATAATCTGCCAATATTTTAAAATAATAGTTCACGGGTAACAGGTGGTACTGACTGACCAGTCCGCAGGCAAAGATGTAACTACTCCATAACAGACTAACACATGTTTCTGCAATTGATTATTTTTTCAAGCTACAAATATTGTTCAACACCACCTTCACATACTTCTCTGCCACTCTTGACATCCTCATACATGAAAAGGTTTTCAATTTGACTACAATTCTCTTTGAAATCTCCAGATCCTCCAAATGTATGTCATCTGGACCAACTGCCTTTCTATTCCTACTTCACATCCTCCTTACACTTCCTGATTAACTTCCCAATGGATTTATTTGAGATTATCTACTGTCAAGTTCTTTAACATTTTAACTATATTTTTATCATTCAGTGATGAAACAGAGCGAAACATCCTCTGGGAGGGGTGGAGGGGTGTAGGGGCTTGTGAGAAAAAACAAAAGAGAAGAGACTAGTCAGACAATGACCTATCTCTAGTCTCTGTGCACTCACACTATGGCTGTTGACCTGTGCCCAAAAGCGATTGCCCCCTAAGTCTTTGTTATTCAAAAACTGTTTAAATACGTCAGTTGAATGACTACACCACTGCTCCAGGTGATAATCGGTGTTATAATGAAGCTGATAGGCTTCAAGGTGAAACTGAAAACTTTAAGTCATCTATGTGAATAGAAATTATGTAACGTCACTTTTGTGCTGTATCCTTTATCTGAAAATGGCTGTGTCAAACAGAGGTGTCTGATGTAACAGGTAAAAGCACAGGTGGGTGGCAGCACCGAGCATTAGGTCTGTCAAACTGCAAATCATCAACATTAACAGGAGGAGGAAAATCTACATCTAAATCTGCATGTGTTGTACAGGCAATTTCTCAACTAGCATTTATTGTCCTCATCTGTCCCTGACCTGATTATTGACATCTTGTTTTCACAGTGAAGCTTAAGATAAAATAGCAAAAAATGAATCCTAAAATGTAAGAAAAAAACTCATTTTATTATATGGTGACTAAGGCCAAATGAACAATATATGATGTTCCTCTGTAGAGTGACCTGTCAAGAGGATTTGTTTTTCCAAAACACCAGTACAAGATGAGTATGGCACTGTAAATCTACCATTTAAAGGTTATGATTCTGCTCTACATTGCTACAATGAGTTTCTTTGACTCACTTTTAGACTTTTTTTAAATACAAAAATAGTGATGTGAAATTGTTGTATACTGACGGTAGAAGACTTAGTTTTGATCACTTCCACGCAAAGGGTAAAAAACTGCTCTGATCCAGTCATGGCTGTGTAGTGATTCAGTTTATGTTGGATGCTCCTCCTCAAGCAACTATTTGAGGGTGTGAGGGAGTTGGGGCTGTGGGTGGAATTTCAAATTTTATTGAGTCATGTAGAGCTATCCTTTACAGAGCTTGTTTTTATTCAGATGTGGGATATGCAGTACTTTTTGAATTCATAAAAAACAGAGGCAGCAAAAACAAAAAAAAAACCATCAAAATGATCAGCAACAGCAGAAGTCACATAACTTTATCTATTAATTGATCTAATACCACATTTGGTAAAGTTAACATCAGCAACTTTGCAGTTTCTTAGCCAGATGTCAGTGACGATGTTATATCATCCATCAGTATCAACGTAGTAAACAGATGATGATTGTTTTTGTTGACGTCCTACACATGCAGCTTGTGTGTAGTATGTCAATTTTCTGACAGGCTTTCGCGGCAGCAGACTCTACAGGTTTGAGTTTCACTGTGTACGTATAACAAGCTGAACATTTGAACCCCATCTCTCTTAGTGATTCAACAAGAAAAAGTGAACTTGACGGCAGAAAGCGAGGAAACTGGTGACAACGACGACGACCTGCCTGACTTCAGCGCGCTGAAACTAACTAAGGAAAACACACAACTCTTCGTGGATTATTCAAATGGTACATTTTCAGTGTTTCTTTGAATCAGATCAGTGCAGTTCAGTTATTACATATCACAATTCCTCTTGTAGATGAAGAGCTGCCGCCCATAAAGCATGGCAGCACCATCACAGACCGACGCAGCACCTTCCAGCCTCATTTAGCCCCTGTGGTGACACCCCGACAGGTAGAGTCACATGTCATTGCTATCTGAAATGCTCTATCTCGGTGGGAAATGTATGGTTTTCATCTTTATTAACATCCTGATCTTCAGTATTAACTTTTTTTTTCTTTTTGAAGAGAAAACAAGCAGTTTGTACGAAAGAAATGTGAATTATCCTCCAAAGTGAGAAAATATATAGAGTATTGCAGGAGTATTTCATACTCCCACCAGCAGTGCAGCGTCATAACCAGCTAATCTCAAACGCTTTTACACTAAATAGAAGCAGTGAAGGGAGGCTCGGACTAAATATTTACACTTGTTATCATTAGAGTAAGAGATGAAACATCTGCTCAGGGTCTATGTCTGTAACATCTTGTCAATGTAACTTCAAGTGTTTCCTGCCAGATGCTGCCTCCAAAGTAACAAACTCCAAAAATGTTTGAAGAAAGCAGTAAGCTGCAGAAATGTAACATGAAAAGAAACCTCTGCACGGTTTGGGAATTTAACAAACGCTCAAAGAAAGGTTAATGGATATGTAGTATTTGTATGCATGACAATTTCACAGCAAGTGAATGGGAAAAATGAGTGCAAGTCATTACTAAAAAGGGTTCGGGTTGTACAACCAGGCAGATGGTGACATTTTCTGCTGAGTAAGCACAAACAGGAACATAAATTATCTGTGAAAAACAGTCCTGAAGATGAGGTTCTAGATTTGTGTCACTTGGATCCTTAAAAAAAAAGTCACTGCAGTTTTTTCTTCAATTTAAGTAAATGTTTTTGCTCAAAGGAAAGTGTACAACAAAAACAACAAACATCTGCATAAAACTTTGCTTTTGGTAACAAAGCATTTTCACTTTTCACTAAGGCTATCATAGATTTGATGGCACAGCAGAAAATGCCTTCTGTCAGTGCCTTTTTTTTCTTGTGCAAAAACATCCAAGTCAAAGTGATGAACACGTCCTATTCTTTATATGTCTGCATTGTGTTGTGTTGTAGGTGAAATTGGTGCTGGAAAAGCTGTATGAAAACAAAAAGATTGCAAGTGCCACGCATAATATTTATGCATACAGGTGAGTGAAGTATTACTTTCAAGGTTCAAATACTCCTTAGCGCTTATATAAGTACTATTTGCTGGTGACTTTATAAAGGAAGTCATTTAAGAAAGCTTCAGGGAAGTGTTTGACTTTTGCCTCATTAGCGGAGGAGGAAGTTTAATAAGTGATATTCAGAGCCTCACTTCTCCCTTCTTTAAAGGCCACGTTACTGCAACTAAAGGTCACAAAAGCACCAGAGAAAATAAAAGGTTTCCTGAAATCATTGTGCATTGTGTAGAAATACAAGCGTTTCTGGCTTGTGTTTGTGTTTATGTAAATGCTTTCCTTTCTTGTGTGTGAATTTTCTAATGTGGTCTAATGAGGTCCATGTCAAGACGCCGACGCACTGCCCGGGTGGTCATTACTCACCGAGAGGAGAAAGTGACATTTAATCTGCCACTTGAAAACTTTTGTGATGAGGGGGCTGCCAGGGTCACAGTGTCATTATCTGACTAGGATGTTTTTGCGCTACAACACCGAATGCCAACCTGTTGTGTGCGGCATCTGTTGCAGGATTTACTGCGAGGACAAGCACAGCTTCATGCAGGACTGTGAGGATGATGGAGAGACGGCTGCAGGAGGGAGGCTGCTGCATTTACTGCAGGTTATGACAAGTCGGCATGCCAGAAGCTAATAGTTTATTACAGACTACATTGGCTTCACTGCATCAACACATACATGTCTTGAATGTGGACGTTTGGGTTTACAGGAAACAAAAGCCTGAGAGAAGGTGCATGTGGATTAGCAGAGAAGTTACCCATTTGATTGGGGAAACACAGAATGACACAGCAGCAGAGTGAAGGGAGGTGCACACATGTAGAATACATAACAGTGAAACCAAAGGAGAGGATGCAGGTAAGGACAGAGCACTGAAAAAAAAGAGTAGAAGATTTGGAGCAAGCTTGTTCAGATGGTGAGGAGTCATCAGGAGTCTGGGAAAGCACAGGAAATGTATTTGTGGAACCTGATGTGGTGTGACTTCAGAGGCAGAAAAAAGACAATGGAAGTTGATGGTGATGGTATTAATTACAGGAAGGAGATAGCAAAAAGAAAAAGAATATGAACTAAGAGATGATGTAGGTAGACAGACTTTAGACAAAGGCAGAATGATTGCAGTGAGTTATGTCAGCGTTTGGACAATGAAGGAGAAAGAGAAAGTCATTTGTGTCGCTTGGCAAAATGGAATCCAGAGCTGGCAAAGTGAACCGCAGGTTACGTTAGAGTGCTGGTAATTGAGTGTTTTAGCGATCGCAAGTACGTAAGAGAAACTGAAGAATGGGTAAATTGAACAGAAAGGAAAGGTGGAGGACTGATAGTGATCCGAGAAGTGCCGGGAATTAGTAAGAAGGGAGGGCAGCTTGGAAGAGGACACAGCTGGTTTAAACCAAACTGTGGAGGTGGGCAGTAAACATTTTGGTCAGGTTGTCTATACAGTGCTTAAGAATGAGAGGCTACCAGATGAATGGAATGAGTCTGACGATAAGCTGCAATAACTACAGAGTTATAAAATTGATCAGTCCTTAAAGGCAGTAGGAAAGAATCCTTCAGCAGCAGCATGGATTCTCAGCCAAAGAGAGAAGAGAAATAAAGGAGCTGACTGTGTGTATGTGTATGTGTGTGTGTGTGTGTGTGTGTACTTGAGCCTGTATCCTGTGTTTCGACTCCACATGAATGCATAGTAATTTGGCTGCAGCTTGATTTCCTTTGCTCTCTTCTCATTGTTTCCATTTGCCTGCCGGATTGCCAGGCTGCTCTGCTACACACTTGCAATGTTGCCTTCCAACAGTTGCAGCCTTTTTGTAGCCTGATACAATTTGTCCACACTTATTAATTCAATTACATTCCAATCTGGTTGCTGTAGATCCTGGTAGTGTGGATCACTGAGCTAGACAATTGTCCTCAACAGCCTCAGACAGTAATGTCCTGTTGACCTTGTCCAAATTAACACCACTCTCATATTCATGTGTGCTGCACTGAACTCTAGGCCAGACCAGCGGCGGGGGCCGCCAGGGGACCCTGGGGGGAGCTGAGGAAATTTGAAGGAAGATAAGAAAAAAACAAAAATCTAATTAAAAAGCTTTTAAATGAACTTACAACTGTGTCACATCTGGTCTGTAAAATAAATATAGACGTGTGACATCCACAGAAAGGTTCAAAGTTCAGGTGAAAGTGCCTTAAAACCATTTTTGTGTTGACTGAACAGAGAAAACTGATTGGCCAGAAGTGAGGGTTCAACACGTTTTTGTTCTTTTTGAATGTCAAGTGCATTCACTGAAGTTGGGTTGTATAATAAAAGCCTGTCCAGTTGGCCTTGAACGCAGCATAAACATAAAGTCTTCTATCGGAGGAGGGCCACACACACACTGGTGTCTCTGCTGATGATGAACTTGGAAAAGCAGCTGCGGTATGAAAAATGAACAAGGCCAACAGTTTCTAATTATCCTTTGATTGACTCACTGATTGCAGTGGAAGCCCTGATACCATGTCTGAGGACTACTTTCATCACTATAAGCAGCTGATTATCATAATTTCCTTAATTTCACAAGCACATTACTTCCTAATGGACCTTCAATCACAATATGAAGCAACAACTCTGATAGTTGTGCAATTTCATTCCAAGATAAATCAACAATGAGAAAACAATGAGAGTCTAATTTTTTTTTTCACTTGATCTTGAAAGCAATTTGAAGCACAGCGTGCCAACAGTGCACAGCACAGACATGGTTCTCTCCTGCCTCCAGTCGGAGCCTGTGGTGAGTCTTACTCCACACCACTTATGTAACCTGCAGCTGTGAGAGGCACTGCTACAAGTCCAGAAATGTGAAAAGAACTGAAACGAGAGGACACAGTAGCTCAGTGAGTCTGGGTGGTTTTAATGGAGGAAGATACAGATAGCAGCCTGCTGCGCGTACACACACACACACACACACACACACAGGTTTCTGTTCTGTAGCAATGGTGTACATGTTAGGACTCACAATCCAATTTTAACATCAACTGTAGCAGTACAATATACAGTATTTTCTGGACTATAAGTCGCATCAGCTAAAGGATGAAAAAAAAGTGCGATTTACAGGAGGGGCAGATTTTGGTACACAAACCTAGAGTGCCCTTTTGTTGCATTCAGTGTGAAAATAACAATCATGTGAAATTATATATTTTTATATATGAGTCGCACCTGAGTATAAGTCACAAACCCAGCCAAAGGATGAAAAAAAGTGCGACTTACAGTCTGGAAAATACGGTAATGCAAACATTTAATCCTGTAATCCACTAATGATGTAATACAATATACTCAAGTTTAACGACTGACCACTGAAATAAGCTATTACACTAGGATAAACTAACACTTGCTAGTTTTGTTGACATTTTACTCCCACTGCTCTGTAGAATGCTACATCGCTAACTGCAGTTTATAATCCTTAATATTACGCTTGTCTTTTTCTTCTGGGATTCTAAATGGCACCTTTGTGTTGCATTACTGACACCTAGTGGCTCTATTCGCCACTGGTAATTATTCCCACCTAGAGTCACAGTGTTCGTTTGCGAATTAAGTGCAAATGGAGAAAAACACGAATAACCAACTGATAAACTCAGCAGCATATACTTCCTGTGAACTTTGTACAGTGATGTAATGTAACAGGACGTCGTAGTCATAAGGAATTTTGTAGTTCTGTCATAATATTTAGCATATCTCCAAAAAAAAGTGTTGTTCTTACAATTGTTTTGTTACTCATGTTTATCCACAGGGCAAAACAATTTTCTAAATTGTCAGACACAAGTGCTTTTTAAGCCAGTGGTGCTCCTGTGAATTGTATTTCGACTCATTAGTTGGCTCTTTGTGGCACGTTTCACGCTGAGCATGAAATGAAAGAAGCATAAAGATTTTTTTTGTTTGATTTTTTTAAAGAACAATCTCAAGTTTAAGTCAAGTCCATCTCCAGAGTTCCTAATGTTCTATGCTAATGTCATTGTCACTGAAGATAACCTCTCTGGATGTGGACATTAGAGCAAGAATTCAAGAGATTACCACAAAGGATAGTGTGCATTATTGATGAAGAACCTCAATCTACCTTCAAACAAATTCACACAGACCTGCATCGGCCGACAAAGAGCAGAAACTATCAGTCAGAATTCACCAACCTTTGAAGATTCTTATTTGGTTACAGGAAAAGGATTGTATTAGTCAAACAGCTTACAGCGCTGCTGTTTACATAATAGATGCCACTCTACGCCTCTCCAGGGAGACTTTGCCCACATTAATATTTTCACAGATTTTTTAATCTTTTCATTCCACATATCAAAGACACACTTGTTACAGCCCGTCAGATGGTCCAGTGATTCACACGCTCATGCAAATGCACCCACATCACACCGCGATGTGCAATTGTCCAGACACTTTTTGTTTCCTCCCGTCACTGAAAGGCCACCGAGAGCTTTGTGACAACATAAATTTCCCTGTATTTAGTGCTGCTGGTACTCGTGGTACCGGCGCGGCACTCATTACCACAGGGTGCTGAGTCATGTCAGAGCGGGTCCAGATGAGATTTATGACTCGAGTTAAAGTTCATACTCATTCATACCAGCCTGACCCTTTTTTGAGGAATAAATCAGTGTGAAATAGAGCAGTGGATTTTTGTTGGTGACTGTGTCAGAAACTGATGCTTCACTGAATTCATATGAATCTTGAGTAACTGAAGTCTTTTGAGTAACTCACTGTTCTCTCCTGGACCAGATCTCTCTATCAGGGACTGCAAGAGTACACACACATCAATTCAAATTGACAAAGCAAGTTCTTCAGACATATATTTCAATTAATGTATTTAGTTTATACCTTTCATTATTTATAGTTTGTATAAATACTATGTTCTTATACTTCATCTATGGTCAGTTTTACCTGTCAGCTATCGAATAAGGCGGTGTTTCCCAACCTCTTTAGAGCCACGGCAGATAATTTACATATATATATAGTAAAATACCATGGCACACCACCACACAAATATTTCACAAAAGTATATACTGTATATCAAATATAATGATCTTGTTTCAATTTACTCAGTTTGAAACCAGTTGAACACAATGCTGATACAACTCGCAGCAATTGAAGAAAGACAAAACCACATATCTGAGAGTCACTATTAACAGAACTCCTTGGTAGAATTGAACCAGAAACCTACTCCATGACAAGCAAGGATCCTACCACATTATCACTACCATCAATAACTTCCACATTGTAAAAGACACAAACCTTTGCGTCCCAAGTCAATAGACATTATTCGTAAACTCCTGGGAAACATGATGCGAGACGACCCAATAAAAAATCTCTTTGCGACCCACCTGAGGGTCACGACCCAGTCTTTGGGAAACAATGATCTGCACCACTTCATCGGTTTCACAAATGCTCCTTCTCCATTCACATGAATTTAGGAGCAGATAACAAGACATCTGGGTCAGATTCTATATTTGACTGACCACCTACGACTGAGTGATGATCAGATCCTCTGTCTGGTTAACACTCTGATTAATCCACTACTTGGGACACTCTCAGCTTACTGAGTGAATTACATAAAGAGTTCTCTTCTTTCTATTCTTTCCTAATATTATTCAGTCTACAAGGCTTTCACTCATTTCCCTCATTCAGATTTTTACTTTGTGCTCATGAATGTATCAGATGATGAATGTACCAAGGTTTTGATTAGAATCGTCAGCATTAAAGAACGGCAAAGATGAGCCGTTCTTTAAATGGCAGATCATACCTCTCCTGTATGTTGTGATGGAAGTTCTAATGTTATTCTATGGGAGAACTCTGGTAGTTATGGAGATATTTCTGTTTTCACATATGTAGTTCTCTAAAATAAGAATCAAATTATTTTGAGACCTGTATGTGTGTAATTGTACACGTTTATTTTTGGTAGAGGCTTCGGTTCAGACCTGTTATCTGGTGCAGAAAGGGCCGTGTTTGCGAACAACAAGCACAAGAACTTAATCTAGGTTTGATCAAATGTTATCGTTGTTTTCCTGCTGTCCTTTAACAACAGTGCTATGTCATTTAAAAACGAACAGAATTCTCTCCTAACAGAATTTTAGTTTTTTTTTTAAATACAAAAGGTCGGAAAAAAAAGACATCTCTTTTTTTAAGCCATCAACAGAGATCTTTCATTAAATATTAATATATCTTAAACACCTCCTGACTCTGCAGCTGCTGAATGTCCCTCTACCCATCAATGCTCACTGTGTCTTCTATACATTGTTGGTCTGAAGCAGGTGTTCCACACTGGCTTCATCACAGGGTACCAGCTGGAGCTGCTGCATCTAGAAATATCGTTAAAAAACAGCCTCCTTCCCAAACAGAAGGCGTACTCAGGAAAAAATAAACACTCTCACTGCCGTGTTGAGGGTAGCAATTACTTTCACATGCATGTCATCTGATCCATTATTAATATGGTGATCACAAAGACCTTCCCAGGCTCCTCACCGACAAATATGTAAGCAAAAAGGCAGAAGACAAAAATAACAACTTAATCCGTCTTAATAGGATAAATATATTTATTAGGTGAGCTTAACAACTATTTTTGTTCCAATTTTTATGGTTTAGGGATTAGGTTTTGACTTTGTTTTTTTTTTTTTGCATCCAAGTCAGATGCACGCAATGCAGATTCATCCGTCACATCGCATCTGGTGTGAAATATTCTGCCACCAGGGAAGGGTGTTGTGTGACAATTCATTGTTTTTGTCTCCAACGGTCCTTTTTTTCAAATTCACACTCATTTCTCATGTACCGCGTTTCTCTCCTACCACAGATTCTGGACGTGCGTAATGTCATGGTGGTCGTGTCTCGGTGGTATGGAGGCATTTTGTTGGGTCCAGACCGATTTAAACACATCAACAACTGTGCGAGGAATATCCTGCTGGAGGAGGGATACGCTGCCTCTTTGGTGAGATGCTCCCATAGACATCAGTGCAGTTTGCAAGTTACAAAAGTGTATGAACCTGGACCTTTTATAGCCCTCCTCCTCCCTTAGCATAATGTTAAAAGTAGACTGACAAATTATTATAGTTCTCTGTTTAATGGCAGGCATCCTGTGGATTCATCATAATTATTGTTAGATTAATTGTAAAGACTGTTACTCTGGGTATTTGGAGTTCAAATGTGTTAAAATTGTAGACTATTTAACAAAAATATTTTTTTTATATATTTTATATTTATATTTTTTAACAGGCCTGCTTTTAAATATTTTGCATATATTTATATATATAATATTTCAAAAATACTGTATCTTTTGGCCCAGTACTTAGCGTCCTACTCTGACTGTGCAGTTGTGTTGGTAATAGGGCTTCATTTGAAGTGTCCACATGTTCAGGAGATCAAACACTTCCTCCTGCTCTCAGCAGCTTGAAGTTACGTCCAGTCGGCTTTGAAGTTGTCTGTGTGAGAGACAAAGTTATTTCACTGATAACACGATCGTCCTTTGAGCCGCTGTCACCGGTAGATTAAAGGTACTGCAAAACTTCCCCTAAAAGTGTCCGATTTCAAACCCTGATCAAGTCACTGCAGGAGTCCACACATCATATTTGTCCCATCGTTAGAGGAAGGCGTCATTCTATTTCCTGAGAAGTGTTTTAAGTTTTGTGTTGTTTTTTTAAAAATATTCATAGTGCTATCAGGTCTAAAATTATAAAAACCTATTAAATAATTTTGGACACTGCAGGTCAATGCATGTTCCAGGTGCATTGGCTTTAAACGTTCTACTTTTAGATAATCATTGACTGCCATATTACATATAATGGACTCAAACTTAAGGACCTGATATTTAATAGACAACATTTAAGGAGGTCTGAGTGACCCAGAAACAGAAACATCTGGTCGCAAATGCTAATATTTGTTTTAAAGGTCAATATTAATGACATCTAAAGTGGATAAAAAACATTTTACAGACAGGCAACGATTGTTTTATATTGACTTTATAGCCGGTATAATATTTATTGCCTGATGTTAATTGCTAAATGCTTTTTTTTTTCTTTCTTTTTTTTCAGAAAAACCATCACTGAATGTTTGTGGTAGAAAACAGATTTTTAACATCCTAACACAGTACCCTGTCAGAGAAGCTCGATCAAAATGTGATGCCTAATTGATGCAGTAACAAAATGTGTTCATGTTGGCTACAGCCAGAGGGGAAAGTTTCAACTTCCAGACTATATAATTAACAACTTGGCTGTATGACAATGAATTTTTTATTTCTACACTGTAGAATGGTGATGGAATCAGAGAATTATCATAGTTTGAGCTGGCAGCCTGGGTTGTCAGTGATAAGAAGTAGGAGATTGTTTTTTTTGTTTTGTTTTTTTAAATTTTGCTTATGAACGCGGTGTTCATTGCTGTTCTATGAAGACATTAAAACTGTGTGGTGCATGCCACTCAACACTTTTCGAAATTGAATTTCCTTGTTTAGAAAAGCAAGGAGACACAGCAGGAGATCAGGCAGAAAGTGTACGGCAGCCTGTGTCTAAAGACAATGTTTTTCTTCAAATAGAGTGTAAATGTTAATGCTATTGAGCTTTTTCCCTTCTCTAATATATTTCTCTTTTTTCCCAAAGGATGAGGCCGCCAAAGGAGCAAAGAGCAAAAAACCCAAAAGCAAGAAAACCAAGTGATTAAAATAATAATAATAATTTGACTTGATTCAACAACATTACTTATTGCTTATTACCTTTTCAGTTTTAATTTAATTTATACTTATACTAACAGTCAAATGTTGTTCTCAGTGAAATAACCAGCAGCAGGGTCTGTGCTCACACTGTGACATTGATGCAGCGTTTCTTGACATTTATTTGTCTTGTTACGATTATTATGCCACTCTAGCATATGAAGATCTTCTCCAATCATTCTGAAGTCTACCTCAACCCCGTCTCCACACTGATGCAATCTTTCCCTGTGGCTCACTTTGAATCTCAATAAACGTCACACACCATTATTTTTGCATTTCTAAGATTACAGGTCAGACATGACAGACACAATAAATACTTTGCTTAAACACACCTAATGCCTGTGTGTGTTTTTATTTTTCATATCTCCTACTAGAAAAATATATGTGTGTTGTTAACAGTTCCCTGAAAATGTTTACCACACGTTTGCTCCTGTGGGGCTTCGCCTCACTTCTTCTTTGTGGTGTCAATCAATTCCTGGATAGGCACAATCTGCATACAAACTGCTCCAGGTTTGGCTTTTGGCATCAGAAGAGGATTTCTAAAAATACCTGTGACTCATCTGTGCATTTGGCCTTTTACTTTATCCTGCCACAACCTGACTTTTGTAAAAGATACTTTGGTGTCTAAACCGTTGTCTTTTGTCATGTGGCCAATATGTGGAGAGAATCAAACCACCTTCTAAGATCTCACGGAGAAAAAAAGAACCCCACGGGTCCTGAAATTTACTAGTCTGTGTACAGAGCTGTCTGCTCATTTCAGCCACTCAGTGTAATTACAGCTAATTTACTCAAGAGATAAGTTTCTATCTTTCACAAACTGTCATCACACCAAAGCCATCATCTCTGCGCCTAATCATATTTTGTACAGGCTTGTGAAAAAAAACAACTAAACTCTTACTCCAGGATTTCATTCATACAGTTGATCTTGATGTAAATTATGATTTAAACTAGTCATAATCACCAATCACTCTTTTTTGGTGCAGCCTGGTAAAACTTTCAGTAAAAAGAAAATCTGAGTCTCAGGTCAAACTGATCAAAGGATCCAAGGTCATGGGAAATTGACTTAATAACTATGAATTAGACTGACGATGAATTATTTAAATCCTTTAAGACTAAAGTAGGGACTCTATGTACTTATGCACTATTTTACTCAGACTTTAAACATCTTAACTGATTTACCTGGGAATCACTGGTTCTTAATCACCAATAAAATATTAAAAATTTCTCTTAAACATCTCTTTAAAAAACAACAACAACAAAACAAAATAAAAAAAAACACAATGAAGATGATAGTTAAGATGTTGCAGGTGAAATTTCTTCAAATTAAAATCCTTTTTTCCTCTTCTCTGTAGTACACACTACCATGTAGTTAAATATTTTACACAAATAATCTTAAATTGTCAAGAACTTTGAGTTAGTCTTGTGGTACAGTATCAGTATCCTTGTTTAGGCTAATGACATTAAAAAGGCCAATACAATTACCAAAATTAATCAAACAATATTATAAATACTCTATTTCTATTTGTTAGCAAATGGCTAAAAAACAATTAGCCAAAAAAAGCTACATAGTAGAAACATTCCTAAAATTAAGCAATGACGTTAGTAGAACGTAAACAAGTTCAAAATGACTGACACTGAATAGAATTTGACTACTACGTTATTATATAACTGAAATAGTATTTAGAACTGTGGATGTCAGAACTGTTAAAACATCATTTTAATATTATATGAATATTTCAACTGAACATGTTTAAACTGCATTTATGACGTAGGTGATATGGGACGATTTAAGCTTAATAACAACACTAGGACTTTATGTTGATCTTCATGCGCTCCTCGTGGACCTTGTATTGTAACGCAGTAGTAGAGTATGTGTCCATGTGAACTTTTCTTTCCCCCGTGGTTGAAGCTCTACTTCCTGATAATCACCAGCTCCTCACACAAATGCTGCTGTTGCCTGCAGCTGAGCTCGTTTCATCTCAGCCTCATGCGTCTGGACCACTTCAGCCTCTGATTGCAGACTTCAGCCTTTGATCAGATGCTGGGCGGACAAAGGACTAAAACGTCAAGCTTTAAGAAATCACACAGCCCAGACCGGAAGTAGTCTCATCTTACGGCACAATCTGATTGTACTGCACTAATTAATGCCGTCTATTCGATATTACATTGGGTTTCTTATAAAAGTTTAGCCTGTTAATATTTCATTTTCATTCCTTATTTAAGCCTCTTGGGAGTCATGATAAGAAGAGATAGGTAAGGTAGAACTTAGCTTAGCTATGCTTCAGAAGAGATTGCCCTTGCATCACATCTACAGATGGAAGATATATTTATATCAGGAAGTCCATGATTAAAAATTGTACTGAATATTCCAAAACCCGCTGAGGTGATTCGTATAGAATTCGCTCGTAACTACATTTGATTTTATTTTGAAAGTAAACACGGAAATGGTGCTTCATTGTGTTCACTTGACGTGTGTGACAAAAGGAACGTGAGCGCAGCGTTGCTCGCACATGCGGCTCTCTGCGCTCCTAAAATAACCCGAGCAAAAGAGCGAGCACAGACGGAATATGCAGTTATCATCACCGATTTTATAAAAAATAATATTTATAATAATAAAATCACTTTTAACTCTTCCACTTCACTTGTCAACGGGCAGAGAATGAAGATTTGGTGTTTTTTCTCATTGAGCTCCAGGTCCCCAGTCATGTTTGGCTTTTTGGCAAAGTGGAGCGGGAGATGTGGAGGAGCGGCTGAACTAAACTCCTCGTATTTGTCCATGAAATGAATAACGCTGTACCATGATTTTGGCGCTGCTCTAATGATGGGCGCTCACGTCTTGGAGTCCAACTCCAGCGGCAACTTGACTCCTGCGGTGACTGAGACAGGGGCTGTGCTCCCGGGATACCTGCTGGTGATGCTGTCGGTGCTCATGGTGACCCTGGTCGTCGTTGTGGTGGCCGGGAACGCACTGGTCATCATGGCTTTTGTTGTAGACAAAACGCTGAGGACTCAAAGTAACTACTTCTTCCTGAACCTGGCAATATCTGATTTTCTCGTGGGTGAGTCGGCGCAGCTTCTTCTTTGTGTCTCCTCCAGTCAGTGCGTCCAAATTCAGCTTTTGTTTTTTGGCTATAAATGACAAAATAGTCCAGACGCTTGGTTTTTGCTCCCAAAAGCAGATGCAATATTTCATTTCTAACATCAGAATGGGAGTTTCTTCTTGATGATGACCTTGCTGGTCTTCTGTAACATTTTGTGCTTTCAGTTGATTTAAATTTTGGGATGCAGTCACACACCCTTATCACTGAGATGCTCTTCCTCACAGCATTGGGTAAATGGAATCTCCACCCAAATGACAAAAACGACAGAAAGTCATTTTGATTTTTGGAATCTTTCTTGACTCGTGGTCATTGCAGTAGATTTTGGTGATGGAGAAGCAGAACGCAGCTGATTTATGGTCAAATTCATGGACCAGTGTGGCGTTCAGGGTGACTGCAGAGGTCAAGATGTCCATGACATATTGACTGTAGCTTTATTTTGACACAGTTTTATTTAGTATGTGTTTGTCTGTGTGTCTGTTTCAGGTGCCTTCTGTATTCCCGTGTACATCCCGTACAATCTCACGGGCCGATGGATGCTGGGTAAAGGTCTTTGCAAGGTGTGGCTGGTCATGGACTACCTGCTTTGCACCGCATCAGTTTTCAACATTGTCCTCATTAGTTATGATCGCTTCCTGTCAGTCACGAGGGCTGTAAGTACAGGCTGTCGTACTGCAGACACACACACACACACACACACACACACACATGCAATCTAATTGAAATTCACAGCTTTTTACTTATTTACACAAGTTTCGGCCTCAAGGCGATCACTTTGTCCTGATTCAGAGAAAGTGCAGTGATATTAAAATATAATGTATATTGTATGTACAAGGCAATATAATTAAACTAAATGCTTAATATATTATATTGTTATAATAATAATTATTATTATTATGTCCCTAAAATCCTGCAGTTTTTCACTGCCACTTACACACAGTTCTGTGCTGGTTAATGTAATTATAACACTGCACTAGTTCCATTTACACATCAGAGATGGAGAAAAAGAACTGATATAAGTGGCTTAAAAATGATTTTACTTTTTGTTGTCAGACAAACTGGTTGAATTATTTAAAAACTCTACCAATCTGTCAGCGTGTTCTGGCAAAGACTTCTGTCTAAAATAACATAGAAAGGTCAAAATGAGAGAAGAGAATCCAGCGCAATGAAGTTTTCTGAAATCCTCTGACTTTTGTCAATGCCATAGGTCTTTTAGATTTTAGAGAACTTCACAGCAGTCAAGGCCAAGCTGAGCACACCAGGTGGGAAATATCAACAGAAGACCACACAGACTACAGTTCACACCAGTTCACTGGTCAGGAGTTTGGTGCAGTATCCACAGTACTGGTACACAGTGTACCAGTACTGTAAACTGGTCAGTGTTCCCAAAATAAAGTATATGTTTTATTGGGTTAAAAAAAGTCAAAACTATTCATATAAAAAAAATGCCACAAAATAATCGTTATCGTATCAAATCCAAAATTCTGATATCGTCCATCAATAGTAGCGAGGAGTAGAGCATTCGTCAACTGTGGCTTCTCGTTATGTTTATATTGCAGTTTCTGTAAATAGAATGTTCTCATTTATAAATACACCACCCTGTCTGTGCAGTGTGGTGATCTAAATGATTTTCAAGTGGCATTAGTTATGTACCATTATACCTAAATACCTAAATACCTATATATATATATATAAACAGAAACCAGGTGCTGTGATTAAAATCTTACTATGGACCAATAAACTCCAACTCCAAACGTGTTTACTTTTGTTGAACCAACATTTATAAAACCAATCCACCTGCTCTACTGTTTGACCATTGGCAGCTGTACCATGTAGTTCCCTGAAAGTCATGCTGGTGTTGATGAGTTGCTTGGCTGGGCCTGACCTTACAGAGTTAGGTTGGAGCTAATTTGTCTTATTGACCCTTCTTTGTGGTCGTATTACTTGGAGGCAGGTACCAGTGTTTTCTGGTTGCTACCAGGGGAGAGGTTGTCTCCCTGGAAGGTCTGTTAAAATAAAGAAAAAACGCTGCAGGAATGTTTCTCCATCCTCAGGTTTCTCTACAGGGCCGGGGGAAATGACGTGGTGGGCCAAATTTGGACCGCGGTTCATACGTGATCTAGTGGATGATATGTGTCATACAGTGAGCGTTACTGTGGGCACATTATACACATGGTCTATGAAGTGCATCCTACTGTAGCCACTGACAGACGATGCACCAACAGCCAGACATGATCGGTCTTTGTCTGTGATAAGAAAATACAATGTTCTGGTCAGATGAGTGGAGGCTCAACACCTCCAACCTTTCATTTGAAATTTCCACCCATGTTGTTAGCCTGTTAAGGCTTTGTCATGACATGTTGAAACATGGACTTAGGAATTGGAAATAATTGACAGTGAAGTCTGCCACCAGACAATAAATATTATTTATATAAGTGATAAAATTAAGATTTTTTCACACAAAAGTAGCTCATACTGATTATTAAGCAACACTAATGCTAATTAAAACTATTGTTGTTGTATTTAGTAACAAAATGCCATTTGAAAAATGTGATTTTATTAAAAGTCATAATAATGAGTGACATTTGAATATCCACAGAAGGCCTGTTCTAAGTTCATTTATAATTACAGTATAATTGACTGACTGCTGAATCTCACCACTGTCCTTGTTGCTAAACCCATCAGGGGTTTGGAGCTGAAAAGATGCTCCCACTACCACTTCTCTCTGGACAATTCTCAACTAATTCAGTAAAAAAAAACAACTAATGCTGTAATTCCAGACAAAAGAAGACAAAGGAGTGTAGAGGCACAGAACGAGAAGGTCAAAGTCAGAGCTGTAAAATCAGGCTAATAGAATTGTGTTTGGCTTAGTGTCAGCTCTGGAGTGTTACAGTATGAAGTAACAACTTTCTGTAACTTCTGACAGAACAAAGACAAATGACAACAAACTCTCCTCTCCTCTTTTCTCCCACCCTTTCCTTCCCTCCCCTCCCATCTCCTCCCCTCTTCTCTCCTCACTTCTGTAGCCAGTGACAGATGATGCACCATACAGTAGCTGAGATACCAAAAAAAGGCCGCAGAGTTTCACTTCATGTCACAGATAAAAAATAATGACCTGTCTTGGAGTCAAAGAAGTCCTTGTTGTTTTAAATAAAAAAACGAGAAAAGGAACATTATTTACTGCTTTTCCTTTTTTCTCACTCATTTTTTTAGTATTAACATAGATTTTTATTAACAAAGTGTCATTTTTGATACATTTTACTTAAAAACAAAATTCAAGTAGCACCTGAATAACTCCTTCTAAATAGAACATAGATCTTTCAGTAGACAATTCCAATACTTTTGAAACCAGAGTAAGTGCATTGCATGATGAACACTTCTTGTTTGTTACACTTGTTTGGATTGTCATGAAAATGAGGACATGACACCTTTTGAAGCTGTGAATTATTTTTTTCTTTTGAAGACAATAAAGGTTTCTTTTCCTAGTCTGAAGAAAAAAAATCAAACTGTCTGGGTCTGAAAAAAAAATGAAGTCATGGAAAATGCAGGATTTTGCTTTAACACTCCTTTTTAATACTGAAAATAAGTAACTATAAAACAGTTCAACTACAAATAGTAATGTTTGTTAGCGAAAAAGATTCATGATAGATTTTGTTCTGTCGTATTATGGACTTTAGAACTTTAGGTTGCAGTTGTTTCTCATTGTTTGTAATTAAACACTATTTCAATTTGGTTTTCAGTCCGGTGATACTGTAGGTACAATCGATAACCAATAACAAAATTGGTAGTTGAAAGGCAAAAAACTAAACTAATTTATTAAGAGATATCCCCCTTTGGCTAGTGGTAGTACTGCAGCTTAAACAGCTGTTCTGGTTGGCTTAAAATAGACAACAGTTCTCAAATTAATTTAATATTTAATGTTGCATTTTTTGTGTGATTAGGTACAACAATTTATTATTTATTCAGTAATATATTTAGATACTAACGGGGCTCTGCCTTTGTGACCAAGACCAGAACATATTATTAACCCTTTAGCTCTGCTTTCATTTTTACTGACACTTAAATATAGATTATTTTAAAATCAGTCTCGCCTGAGGCTCTCCTCGACTTCAAATTGCATTTGCAAATGGATCTGGTCTCACCTAATTTTTCCCGCCCACATTTAACATACTTTCAACCAATGGTAGCTCTAACACAGGACATGGCACTGCAAAATAAATCAAAGTCCCTGAGCACTAAAAATAGTCTTTTTTCCCTCTCCTGGATAAACACAAATGTATCAGTGTATCCCCCATGAGTCTCAGCTGCTGTCACCATTTAGTTAATAAGAACACTTAGGCCCGACAGATTCATCTTAATGGGTTAAATTTAAATTATATTTAGGCTATCTGTTTTCCTCTGGCCAGTGGAGCAGGAATTCTATAAACTAAAAATAAAAACAGCAACGACTCTCGAAATAAACCCTGAAAACTGAGGCAAGATCAGTGAAGTTGTTCTGTGTCAGTATTACCAGAACAAGTTTGACGTTAAGTAAATTAAAACTGTCCGTCAAGATTAAGTTCATAGACACAAGAGAATGTTGTTGTTTTTTTATTTACGGAGATTGATTCCACTGTGGACTAACCATATCTCTCTATCTCAGTTGTTAACAAAGAAAACGGGATAGGCTCTGAACGGTCGAATCTTAGATAAATGATTGGTCCAGCCAGTGTCAGGACAGATGGACTGGTCAGATGGGACTGAAGCCAGATCCATCCGTGGGCACAAATAAACATGAGCTCCCTTATTGGTTTGGTCTTTTAGGCTATTTAGTAAAATCCCTGTCTCACACTGACATACCCAGCTGAGAAATGAGCGACCCAAAAACCTGAAAGGGAGTGCTAAAAAGACGTGCCCGGCTAAATGACAGGATTATTAGACAAAGTGAAGTGAAATAAAGTGTGAAGAAAAAATGATCGATGGTTAATGTCGAGGGAGGAGAGGATTCGTAGAAACCAGATGTCTCTTTCACACTTCATTCAATGTGGCATGAGCCTCATGAGTTGGATTTACTTACAGCTTCTCCCTGCCGCTCCCGGCTGCATTATTCAAACAGGGCTGCATTTGCAAAAGACTCCGAGTGCATTTGTCAGCCTGTGATGCTGTACATGAGCGTTTGTATCAGCTGTATTCACTGACGCCACATCACTCTAAGACTCATTTATGCACCTCTTTTGGCACAGGTTAAATACAGAGCCCAAAGAAATATGACCCGCAGAGCCGTGTTGAAGATGCTAGCGGTGTGGGTGTTGGCCTTCCTTCTCTACGGCCCCGCAATCATCTTCTGGGAGTTGATCGTCGGTGAGAGTATCGTCCCGGCCCACGAATGCTACGCCGAGTTTTATTTCACCTGGTACTTTCTGCTCAGCGCTTCAACCTTTGAATTCTTCACCCCGTTTGTGTCGGTGGCCTTCTTCAACCTCAGCATTTACCTGAACATCCATCGCAGGACCAAGAACGGTGGCGCCTGTGCCGAGGACGATGTCAGGATTCAGACTAACCATAAAAAGCAGGGAGGAGATGGTGCGACCTTGTCTGTGTTTTTTGTCAAATCACGAAAGGTTTCGTGCAGCGAGCCCGCTGCGATCTCTGCAGTTATTGAAGACGATGACGTCCTTTGTCCCTCCTCCAGTGGGGAACCAAACACCAGTCAGATATTTCTACAGGCAGGGAGGTTCTCCCCCATGAGAAAAAACTCGAGGTTGTTCCAACATACGGCCTCCTGCATGGCAGCTAGTCGGAAGAATCAAGGATCTCGACTTTCCAGAGACAAAAAAATTGCTAAGTCTCTCGCCATAATTGTCTGTATTTTCGGGGTGTGCTGGGCTCCTTACACCCTACTGATGATCATCCGTGCTGCGTGTAGTGGCGCATGTGTGGACAATCACTGGTACGAAATCACATTCTGGCTTCTGTGGTTAAACTCTGCAATCAACCCGTTTTTGTACCCACTGTGCCACAGCAGCTTTCGAAGGGCTTTCTCAAAGATATTGTGTCCTAAAAGACAATCGGTGCAGCCGCAGATTGAAGCCCAGTCCTATTAGAACAACACAACCGGCCGTACGAATGCAGTAACTGAAGCTGTTTAACACTGTAAAAATCCATGTACTGTTCTTCCAAAAAAACCACAAACTTTTCTGTAAAAAAAAAAAAAAAGAATTACAATAACTTATGTTTATACTAGGGAGGTCCGATATGAACTATATTAACTTTTTGCCAATTTCCGATACCGAAATAGGCTCGTAATATTTATTTATTCATCTGTACAAACCAATGTATTTAACCAATTATTATAATAGATTAATTAAATGAGTTGAAATGCTGCCATCTAGTGACTTTCACTTTCATATACAGCCATTTTTCCCCAAAACTATTTTTAGGGTACACATCATTCATTTGGTGAAACCCAGGCATTGCGTTATTGGGTTTTCATTATTGTAGGGAGAAAAACTGATAACGATTCTTACCAATATTACATAATCGGACCAATAATATTGGTCGGCCGATATTATCGGACATCCCTAGTTAATACCATAAGTATGGTTGAAGCATGTCTGAAAGCAATACTATGATGTAGTTTAAAATAAAACAGTAAGTGACAGAAACCTTAGATGGACGGTTAGAGCAGACTGTGTTAATCTTCATGTTGGATGTGAGCTCTCGCTGGTAAATATGTGATGCCACAGAACGTTTTCTGATAGACAGAGTATGCACATATCACTGAGACTCGAAGTACGAAATTATACGAGGTTGTTGTAATTTTTCTTTTTCTTTGTATCACATCACTCAAATATTCAAAGTTTCATAATCTGTCTGGGCGTGACTCATCTTCAAGGTTCAGGTGCTGTTGAATTCTTTTATTGTTTTTTTGTTGGTACATTTCACAAAAATGTTGTAAAAGGAATGATGAAATATAATTGAAGTTTGTCATCGTGCTGCAATAGAATTTGACACTTGGGCAAATGTGCAGCCCTTGGAGTTCAAAGCACCGGAGAAGAGACGGTTCTGTGTTTGTTCCCTGTACTTTATAATCATGCTGGTGTTTTCTAGCATCATTTTTTCACAACAGTAAGTGAGCGGCAGAGGAAATCAACAAGAACCTGCCCCGACTGAATCTGCACTTAATTTCTATTTATTTTTTAAATGTACAGCTCTTTGAAACAGAAACTTTATTGTAAATGTTTTCCATTTTATTTAAACAGGATATTTATTCAAAGAATTTTAACCATTCATATATTTACTACTTTGTACTGTACGTAAGCTATGAATGTATCAGTGAAAGTATACAAAAATGAGGGAAAAAATGACAGCTTAAGAGCCTCGGACCTGCTCATGTTTTGAGTAAAACCTTAGAACACATGATGACGCAGATGTTGTTAATAAACAGGCTAATGTATGGTTAGCACTCCTGTGGGTTTTTGGTTTTTTTTTTTGGGTTTTTTTTTTTTTTTTTTGCAGTGTACAAATTGATTTTGTTGTCCGTAGTCCACGCTTCAGCTTTTCATGTTGTGGTTTTATTGACAACAGAATATCTGTTTGTCGAAGACGAAATAACACGTCAAGATTGTAAAAAAAAATTATTGTGTTGATGATGTAAAGGTTCAGTTAGTTAGTTTTCAGTAGTCCTGACGATTTAAGTGTACAGTATATAATTATAAAGTAAACATGAAGACACTGCGAAGATTACATAGTACTGTAATTACCAGGAAGGACAAAGGTTTGATTTACAGTAGAGGAAAGAACTCTCTCTGAGATGTACTGATTAAAAATAGCACATGAGCTAAATAATAAGAAATTAATGATGCTAAAATATTAATGATGACAATTTGATTGATGAAAAAAGTTCAAGTGAACATTTTAAAGCTGACAACTGCAGTGTCTACAGATGGGAATATGGTGACATGTGTGATAAGCACTTTGGAAAAATCTCATCATCAGAATTTTCATAATTACTTTTGATTGTGTCACTGACCCTATTTAATAACAGTGTTAACAGTTAAATATAGCTTTAATTACAGGTCTGGACTCAAAACTATTTCCCAAAACACACTTTGACAAATATGTCACTTTTTGACAAATGGAAACGGTCTTTCCGTGACCCGTGCAAAATAAGAGGGTGACAAAGTCAATTTGAAGGCATTCCTTAAAACGACAGCTGAGGGTGAGATGAACAGAGAAAGGTTTAGGTGACCTGTGCAGAGACGCAGGTGGAGTTGCAAATAGAAAACAAATTGCTCGGCACATGTGCTGACACCGTTTCCGGGAGCTGGGGGACCTCCAACCACCAACATTCACAGCCTTTCAACGCCAAGATTGGAAGCAGTTTCCATTTTTGGGCTTACGTTAGGACTGTTAAAGAACACATGCACACACAGCCAGATAACTGGTGAAACTTCAGCCAGGCTGTGGCTGTGTCTTTGGGCCTACACAATCATGATGAGGTGAAATCTAGATGAAATAATACCAGTACGTACAGGTTAACACTTGTAGAGTACCACCAGTGGAGGACGTGTGCTGCTGCAGTACACTTGTGGTTGGTGGATTTGTGTTCTCGAGTACTGAGCCAATCAGGTGAGCAACAAGATGCGGGTGGAGGTTATTAGAGATGTGACTGGTGAGTGTCAGGAAACGACTTCAGACGAATCAGAAGTGGTGATCTCAAAGAGCAAGTAAGGAGAAGTACACACTTGTACGCATGCATGAACACATGTGAAAATGTACAAAAACATCTTCAAACTCCTCTGTTGTTGAGTCAAACTATGACGAAGGGCCACACATCAGACGCTCACTTGTCTTTCAATAACCCTGACACATCCTTGTAGTCATTGCTTCAATCGTTTCTTCTTGTTATATTATTTATGTTGGTTCTGTCGATGGTTGTAGGAGAAGCTGGTGTCAATCCTAGCTGTCACCAGACCAACGCAGACTACGACATGTCTGTCCAGTGAAGGGTCAGAGAAACAAACAAATAAACAAACAGATCTAATGGTGAGTGATGAAGATGGAGTAGCCAATACAAACCCACGCACACGAATATTCATGAATAACATGGAGAAACTGACTTAGTCACAGGATCAGAATTTTATGAAACAGTAATGCACTGGTCCATCTGTATCATGGGACAAAGGCTTCAAATGCTTACTCAGCGCCACCTACAGGCTACAAAGGGAGGTTACATATAGTCCACAGAATAACAAAAGATATTACAGAATACTGTTTATTGGGATATTTTCTAATATCTACATGACAGCACTTGGTGCAGTAGTCAGATGTCAGACTGAGTGCCAGGCTAAAGTTTTGACACAATCTATGAAGGACTTTATCAAGTGTATTTTGTCTCATGTTTTATTCACTCAGAGGAGACAACATAGCCACCAAGGGTTTTGCAGGGAAAAGGTTTTACTGCAGTTCCCTGTACAATACATGCCAGCATGTCCTGCTGTAGTATTTTATTACAAGTCGACGATACAGTCGGCCGAAGCACGTCTGCCAGTTGGAGGCTCCTTCTGATGCCGTATGCTGTTTCACAAAGGCCCTTTTTTCCACTCCTGTTATCCGGATCAAAGTAGGCAACACCAGGCGCTGCACTTCAGTGAAAGTCATTTCCAAATCACATCAGCGGAGCTGATGAGGTGTGATAGGTAGCTTTAATTTGAGAGCCCTAGCAATGTTATCCTCCAAAGAGCCACAGCAGTACTACTGAAACCAGAACTCTGAAGAGGCATTCATCACAAAAAAAATTTGACAACACAAAGGCACAGAGCAAAAAAATAAATGAATTAAAAAAAACCACCAAATGGTCAGACTAGAAAAAAGTGCATTTGATTCTGAAGTGGAATCTGACAAATAAATGATGCATTTACCTCCTGCTGTTTGTCAAATAAATCTAAAAAACTCGGACACAAACTGCATGACACTATTGATTTGCTTTCTGTGTGTGTCTCACGTTGAGATCTGACATCTTGATTTGATGAAACGGTCGTGGCAGATCGAGTGAAATAAACGCTCAGCCCTCTGTGCCACTTGACGACTGCCTGCGCCTCTGCCTCTCATTGTAACCTTCTGTTATATAAACATTGTCCATCTATACAAGGTTATTCAAGGTCGACTTGTTAAGATCAAATCTTTATCCATTTCCTTTGGCAACAAATAAAGTATTTTTAGTTTGCTAGAACACACATAACGTACAGTCACCTGGGGGCACATTTTTTTTATCTAATTATTGTATATATAAGTTGTTTTTTTTTACTGAAAGGTCAGCTTCTCAGTGAGTGTTTTTTATTACAAAATTGAGAAAAATACTTAGTTTTTAAAACAAGAATCTTAAAGCAGAGCAGAATAATGGATTGGTATTGAAGGCCGTGACAGGTTTACAGCAAACCTGGAGATTTCTGACAGCACTTTCACATCTTTTTTCTTTTTGCATTTTTTTGTTTTAAAGTTTATTTTTTTACCGTTTTATACTGTTTTTCTGTGTCATTCTAGTTTAGTCTATTTATTATTGTAGCCCATCAGCAATACAGCCCTCCTTAAAGGGCCAGTGGTAACTGTAACACTGTATTAATGTAACTACTCCATAACATATTAATACATGTTTCTGCAATTGATTAACATTTATTTAAGATACAAATATTGTACTTTGCACTCAGTAATAAAAGAAAAACACTTTTTAAGCCCCCCTCCGCCCCCCGCCCCCGCGCCATGCAGAATGACTTGACAGGCCGCATTTGGTCTGCGGGCCTCGGGTTTGACACAGTACATACATTTATCGTGCTATTACTCTGTTAGCATCTAGAACGGTCCTCACAAAGAGAGTGTAGGTTTACTCTCAGAAGGCCTACTGTTTTGTGTCCTACATTTACTCATCTGACTCACCTGTCACTTGTCACTCACTGAGACGTCGTCACGAGAGCATTTTCCATTTGGAGCCTGATTACTTTTGACCTTGTTTTCTATGCTAATCCAGCAGAGTGAAGTGAGCAGATGAGTAAAAAAAAAAAAAACAGGAACAGGCAGCACGGTGGACAAAAACTAATTTGGCTGACATGAATATGTTGATGGCATCCAGTATATTCATATTTATCTTCTACCTGCCAACATGGCTGTCCTGGACTACAGAGACAGGACTGGATTTTAGAAAACAGCTTTGTTTAAATGAATTACATCACATGCTGGAATTCCTCTAAATACATAGCAGGGTTTTAGAAAACATGTATTACATCACACCAAACTAGCACTTAGCCAAACTAGGCTGACATAAAATGATAAGATAAAGGGACCTCAATCGAAGCACTTCAAAAGTACATTTTGTACAGGTCTCATGAATTGCTACAGAAGACTGTGTCGTGTGTGATGTAC